AAACTGCAGCTGAAGACCACCTTATACAATATCTCAATATTTATACTCATATTCAACCTGAGGTCCAGTTCTCATCAATTTCGTTCCAAATACTTTGTTTTTCACAATTCCAATAGGAACTATATCGTTGTAATACAATATTCTTTCTAACAAATCTCCTCTGAGACAATAATTTCAAATTCTGCTTGAATTTCTCTTTCTTCATCTGATATAATCGCCAGCTATTTTGGTGATTTTGGTGGCGGCATAAAAGTCCTCAGACATCGTTGCCGCCATTCACGGTGAACCCCCACCTGGCTGGGGTGTTTGGATGAAGATATTGTTCATCTTCTAACGGAGGACATGAGGGCCTCATTCGACAGAGTGTCTGGGCCATCTATATCGCGAGGAGTCGTCTACAGTGTAATCCATAGCTTCCCTGACTAAAGGATTTTTACGATTTTCGGCATAATCCATGACTTGCCGATTCCTCGACTGAATGGACTCCTGAATGGAAGGTAGCTGTAAATCTGCGGATAGCTTCGTTCCGTATGAACCAAGGAGCATTCACAATCATCCTTATTAGATGATTTTGCAATCTCTCCAAAATGGAGATATTTTACGGAGCCGCTTGTCCTCAGACGCCTGAAGCATACATGATGACATGCTTGAACATCGTTTTGTAGATCATGATTTTGTTTTTGAGTCTTAATTTAGAACATCTGTTGATCAGAGGGTACAGACTAGCTATCCGATCCTCGATCTTTGCCTTCACGATTGTGATGTGCGGATTCCTGGTGAGCCTACGGTCTATTAGAAGACCGAGGTACTTCACCCGCGCTTGCCAGTCAATCTCCCTTCCAGAGATTCTCACTTTTCTGGCCGGAGAAGATAGCAATTTTCTCATGGTTATTGCCTGGGTCTTTTCTGGATTCACTCGGATCTTACATTCAAAGTACCAGCGCCCGAGGTCGTCCAATGCACGTTGCATGTAGACGACACCGAGCTTCTGACCCATGGAAGATGAGAGGAGAGCCGTGCCATCGACGTACAGAGATATCTTCACACGCCCTGACCTTGGAAGGTCACTGGTGTAAAGTGAATACAGCGTCGGCAAGAGCACGGCCCCCTGTGGCACTCCAGCGAGGATCTCTCTGTTGTCAGATAGAGAGGGATCAAACCTCTGCGGAGCTGAAAAAGAAATGAAACAAGCCAAAAAATAATAACTTTCAAAAAAAGTCATTAAAGGCGAAATTGTTTGAATTCGTTTTTAATTTGATTAAGTATTTTACATTGGTCCTTCGAGTAATTATTGAACCGCTATGGAACAATACAATGAAGCAAATGAACCATCACACGTCAAAAATGTCCGACGGAGTGAGAGGCCCAACAAAGGAGTTCCACCTTCGAGATTAGGAGAATAAAACTAGTGAGTGCATTTTTTGTAAAAATCTTGACCACGTATTATCAAAATGTACGAAATTCTCTGAATGAAAATGAAAAGACGAAAGAATGTTCTCAACCTCAAATTATGTTTCCTCTGCCTCAAATTTGGGCATATGTCGACTAAGTGTTTTTCGAAATCGAGGTGTAGTTCATGTTCCACGCAATGAACAATCACAAAATGAACTGCAAAGCCTAAATAATATTGTGAGTAATCAACAACCACAAAATGAATCGCAAAGCCCAAACAATCTTGTGAGTCAAGCCAATGTATATGCTAGTTTCCATAGTAAATCTTCAGGAAATGAAACAAAAACTGTACTACTACGAATCGCACCTGTGATTCTTAGAGGACCATCTGGGGATATTCCGACTTACGCACTCTTTGATGAAGGATCAACCTGTACCATGATTGAGGAAGCCTTAGCTCGCAGATTACGACTTCCAGGACCGGTTGTTCCACTCTGTTTCCAATGGACTAATGAAATAACTAACCACGAAGATCATTCACGAATGGTTTCTTTAGATATCGCTGCTTCTAGGAACCTACAAAAATTCTTCACGCTGAAACAAGTCAGAACCGTGCAGAATTTGCGACTTCCATCTCAAGAAATAGATGTTGATAACTCGAACGAAAAATATCCTCATTCAGACCGTGATCTATTGGCATCAATAAGAAATACTAAACCGGAGATGTTGATCGGTCAGGATAATTGTGGCCTCATAGTACCAAGAAATATCATCCAACCACAACTGCATCAGCCCATTATGTCTCAATGTATATTTTTCGTCTTGAAGCTTTTGGTGTGAAAATACCAGACAATGTTATCAAATCAATCGAAGATGAAAGGGCTGTGGAGATCATGGAAAAGACTCTGAAGAAAGTCGGTAATCATTACGAAATAGGGCACCTATGGAAACGTGACAACCTTACACTAGCCCCCAGTAAAACTAATGCCCTGAATCGTCTGTATTGTATGGAACGAAAAATGGACAAGGATGCCAAATTTGCTGAAGAGTATACTGCAAAGATTACTGCAAAGATTACTGAGTATCTTCAAAAAGGATACGCCAGGAAGTTACATCCATATGAAGTTCAGAATAATAAAAACAACTGGTATCTTCCACACTTTGGGGTTGCGAATATCAACAAACCTGGAAAGATTCGTCTGGTTTTTGACGCTGCGGCAAAATCTCAAGGTGTGAGTCTTAACATGGTTCCCAGACACCAGCCGTGAAAACATGGTTGTTCAAGTTGGTAAAAATGTTGTCAATGCAGGAAGCCGATGTAGCTGTTACTCTGGTGTAATCATTAATAGTAGCTGCGAAACCAAAGGATGTCAATAAATCTTTTAATTTTTTACCAGAGGGTGATAAATGATTTAGATCGATATTTATATCACCCGTTATAACTACATCCAAACCAGACTCTGCCGCCACACCAATACATATTATGTACACATGGCAAGTCAAACAAACAATGTAAAATGCTTATTTATAATCTAAAGTACATACATACTGCATACTATAAAATGAATATTTTGAAATAAAATCTCAAACTATGCACCGTAGGTTCTGGTAAATGCCTGTCGGAAAATAACTAGTTCCCCGGCTAATACCACGCTGGATATTGAATTATATCCGACATACATATAGCAAGATTGAAATTATTCGAGTAGATCACCTACAAAATAAATAAAACCTTTTAAACATTTTCTGTCCTCCAGAGTGTGAAAACTATTCTTTAATAAAAAGATCTTAACTTCATATTTGAATCTGGAATAACAGCTGATTTTCTGGATAATGGCAGGAAGCGTATTAAACAAAGTAATGCAATAATTGTAATAAGGACATTTTTTGTATATTGTTGTATTAAATTTTAGAGTTTGTTAGTTTATTATACCTTGTTCCATATACATGTTGATTAAATGTTGAACTCTACTCTCCATATGACTTTTCACAAAAATATTAAAACCTCTTAGGGTTAATATTTACTTTTCTTTGAAAATGCTACAACTACAACTGTTGAGAGGTAGACGAGTAATTCTTTTTTGGGTTACAAAAATCCTATACCAGTCAGTTGCTTGACCCAAGATATTATATTGTAGAACATATTACTGTAGGACAAAACATAGTATGAGTTTACTAACCCTTTCTCGTCTAGGCATGACTTCATCTGAAGCAAAATGAGCTTTATTTAATTTAGAGCAAATATATTCAATATGGGAATTAAATTTGAGGGCTGAGTCAATTCCATTGAGGTACCAAGAAGCACTTTTCTCAATATTTATGTTAATATCAAAATTGAAATCTATTGGTGTTGTTTTTCTCAAATGAAAGATAATAGAAACAGGTTTGTCTTTATTGAAGACAGAAAACTCAGTCCAGGAATATCAAAGATAAACGAAACTCTCCAAGGCGGCAGCTGCAATGTCCGATCGTGAGTCGGGCGCACTACCACAGCGGCCAATTCCACAATAATTTCACAACAACAAATGCAAGAGAAAACGTGAAAATGAGTTAGATATGAAATTTTTAGCAAAAATGTTTGTTGAGACAAGAGACTAGTGGATGTGAAGGAGCTTGAAAGTTGATAGATACTCTGTAAATGCAATCAGGTTTTAAGTTCAGGATAAATATCCAAAGAACATGTGAGTTATTTGATGTCTATCCTCAGTGTATCATGTGTGACATGGTACACTCATATGATGATACACTCAATATAATGATATATAGTGTTATATATATTCAGTTTGCCAGTATAGAAGTTGTACACCACAGCTTTTATAGATGTCTATTTTCTGTTTTCAAATGAATCAGGATATTCTTGTAGATATACATCAACTTCGTTCTGTTTTGGAGCTGCTTTTCTCTTGATGTTACCAGTAAAATATTTTACGATAATTTTTTTCTGTTCCAAAGACTATGTTTAATAGAAGTCCATTTTGCTTTTCTTGATAATACAAATTTGAATGTTTTTTCATTTCATCATTCGAAGTACTTTATGTATTACTAAGTATTTGTTCTGTGACGATCTCTACTTCACAACTTTCAAAAATAGGATTCAAATCGATATTTACAGTGTCATCCCCAAAGTATGTACCATATGGGAAACTTATTTATTGAGAGTTTTTTGACAATAAGTTATTCTTGATAAAAGTTTGTGCATCCCCTTAAACTAAACATGCACCTTCAAATATTTGATTTTGAGACAGGAGTAAAGTACTCTTATTTTGAAAAATTTCGGAAAATGTTATTTAAAAAAATTATTCAGCTTTAAAAAATACATCTAGATTTGAAGTCATGGCCATGTAAGTGAAGTTTTATTTTATTTATTTTTTTCAATGGGGAGTACGGAAAAAAGTTTTACTAAAACGAAAAATAGACAACATCTTGTATGCGACGGTTTATTTTTAAAGCCTGCAATATTATAAATTACACAAGTATGGTGTTAACCACGGTCAACTTTCTTGAAGAGTAGAATAATTTTCTAAGTTTTTGGTGTGAAGTTATTTTTATTTTTTGTTGACAAGGAAAATTACTCAAAATTATACAGTATTGTAACAAGAACTTAATATTCAATAANATACTTCACAATCGTCCGTATGCTTGTGGGTTGACTTGTGGTTGACTTCTGATACAGCAGATTTCAAAGATTGTTCTGATGTTTTCTCCAGAATTTCGAAACTATTTTCGGATACAGGGATCTGAAAGAAAATAATTCTGTGTAGTTGACAGTTTTTAATTATTTTCCGTATGATGACCAAGGAAAGTGAGCAAATATAAAAGTGTTAATATTTAATTTGGAATTTAATTTTCACTTACCTCGTTGATAACATTGCTTTCAATAGGATCATGAAACTTTTCAATTTCAATATATCCAGAATAATGAGAATGATTTGTTGCATTCTGATTGTCTTCGCTTCCGTAGTCAAAGGGTTCTTCTTTTCTGAAACATCTGACTCCCAAATGTGTATCGGAATTGGTAGGAGTTGCAGGAATAATCACTTTCCAGTGATTATCAGATTTTGTCAAAACATTGATGCCATCATTATTCGAATTTGTCTTGGTGGCAAATGCTACATTTTTAATTCCACTTGGTTTCAGAATGTGCTGGGATAATACATTAATTTTTTTTGTGAAGGGGGCATACTTCGGTAACTCTGATGTAATGTTTGAAGAGTGCATCACAGAAGTTTCACAAATTTTAGTGTCGTCATTTGGTAAGGTGATCTGCAGAGAATGAAGTACATATTTGTTGAAAGGTAGAACTGGAACCTATCGCATATAATAAATCCAATCGTCAGAACTGCAACACTCTTCTTGGCGTGCGCTTCACCAACCAAGTTGACGCCTTCAGAAGGTGAAGTATACTTGAATCCTGAAGAAGCCAATTTACTTGGTGAAACGTGCGTCTGTTGCAGTTTTGATGTTTAGGAGCAGTGCTCGTTCTGGTTATATGTTTGTAAATTCATCATCTGCGAATGTGACAGATTTTGTGAATATAAGCAGTGTGTACTCACCATCGTATTGCTTTCCTTTTCATTACAATCTGAATAATAATGAAAATCATTGTTATGCTCATCGGAACAGTACAGGTAATTTTCTGTCACTTCAGAAACGAAGAGGTAATTTTTATTTACTGTAGAATATCCTTCATTGTCAAAAATAATGGGAAGATCAGATATTTCATGTCCAATATTTGCAACATCTTCTTTTGGAGGGACTACAATTACTGGAAATTGAAAGTTATTTTCTGTTTGGGTAATATTCTTGACACTCTCATTGTTTGGTCTTTGATTTTTTTTGTGTTCAGAATGTATATCTGTGCTGACATATAAATGTTTTTTGTCAATGTTTTCTAATGGCTGAGATTTTTGTCCAAATTCATTCTGATCTCGTGATTTGAAAATTAGCATCTGATCATTATTTTCGTTGTTAACTGTATTTACACTATTACGCATGACCTCTGTTGTAGATTTTGAACTATTCACCCTGCTTTCTTCATATTTTCTTTCCTTATCGGAAGAAATATTCTCATTTATATTCTCATATTCATATTTTCTTTCCTTATCGGAAGAAATATTCTCACTTGACCATTGTTTTTTCTTAGATTTTTTACTGTTTTTCACATCTTGGGTGTTCAAAAATTGCTCTTTCAGTATTTTTGGATCAATCTCCAACACCCAATTTGTAACGGGATCAAACTCGTCCATACTTTCATTTGAATTTTGCCATGTTTTATCTTCAGAAACTTCCACAGAAGTTTCAAGTTGATTTTCTGTAATCATCAATATAGAAATAAAAAATTACCATTTGCACAATTGAAATACATAATTTTGAAGGAAATAGAACGGAAAAATATAAATAAAAGAATTTCCATGGACGATTTTCTGTCGGTGTGATTGGCATCGATTACTACAGTTATAAAATTAGTGTTCTGGGTAAGCAATCTTAATAACTGATCGAACCACTTAGGAAGCATCATGGCTATTTTCAGTCCCATCAGCAATGNGGCAAGAGCACGGCCCCCTGTGGTACTCCAGCGAGGATCTCTCTGTTGTCAGTTAGAGAGCCCTCTACTCTAACCTGGAATGTTCTGTCTTTCAGGAAATACCCAATCCACCGGATCAGGCCCCGAGGCAGGTCGAACGCAATTAGTCTATGCAGAAAACCTTCGTGACATACTCGGTCGAAGGCCTTCGAGATGTCTAGCTGTTGTAGAAACTGATTCAACACAAAGTACTTTTCATATGAAAGATGAAGTTGTGGGCGTATTTCAACTACAGCAAAAACATCAGCTTTATTTATAGCAACTATACATCATTTTTTTTTTCGATAGAACAGAAATAAACAAGGACGAAACATAATCACTCAATGAAATCTAATTCAACACTCTCCCTATTTCATTAAGATCTAAAATATTCAGTTCGGAACGCAGAAACTTAATCTTGTCTCTTGATAAAGGTTCTGTTGTCATAATATCAGCCAACTGAAGTTCAGATTCCACGTATTTGACAAAAACCTTCCCACTTTCAACAATTTCACGAATTTAGTGATATTTAACATCTATATGTTTTGTTCTCTTGTGAAATTCTGGATTGTATGCAAGTTTTATTGCACTTTGATTATCAACATTGATGACAGTCAAATTATTTTTTAAAACGTCAAGTTCTGTGAACAACTCTCGCAGCCAAACACTTTTTCTGCATCCATAAAAGAAAGCAATATATTCTGCTTTGGTTGTGAATAGTACAACAGCTTGCTGTCTTTGCGAGGACCAAGTAACAGGGCCCCCATTGATCGTGAAAATATACCCACTTCTTGATTTTCTTGTGATGATATCGCTAGCGTAATCTGCGTCAGTGAATCCAGCTAAATTATTCTCTCTGAACTCTAGACTTACTTCATAAACTATCCCAAAACTTTTTGTACCTTGTAAATACCTTAGTATTTTCTTCACAGGAGACCAATGTTCAGAAGCATAATTATTTGAAAATTGACTAACGTAGCTGACAGAATAAGCAATATCTGGATAATTTATGCAGAAAACCTTCGTGCCATACTCGGTCGAAAGCCTTCGAGATGTCTAGCAAAACGACATAAACTTTTTTGTTTTGATTTAGTTCTGCGATGGTATTTTCGACCAGTCTCAGATCTTGCAATTCAGTGGAATGTTCTCTCCTGAAGCAGAATTGTTCGTCAGACAGAACATTTCGATCCTCAACTTCTTCGTTGAGTCTTTGCAGAACAACTCTTTCAGCCAGCTTAGTTGCCGACGAGAGCAGACTAATCGGACGATAGTTCTGTGAGAACAGCGGGTTCTGACCCTTTTTGGGATCAGGACGACGATCGCATGCTTCTTCCTTCTAAGGAAGTATCTGAGGGTCAACGAACTGTTGCTTTTTGCCGTGGAAGTCATTTTCATTTCAAGCAGGTTGGAGCCCAGCTCCCTTACCCTTACCCGCTCGTCAGAAGGACGAGCGGGTCAAGACTGATTACTTGGTGGCGGCATGAAAGTCCTCGGACGTCGTTGCCGCCCTTCACGGTGAACCCCTACCTGGCTGGGGTGTTTGGATGAAGATATTGTTCATCTTATAATGGAGGACATGAGGGCCTCATTCGACAGATTGTCTGGGCTTCCTGGAGGGGTCGTCTACAGTGTAATCCATCCATTATGGAAAAAAAGAGATTATCGCTAACACTGCATCACAGTAAGCCCCTCACTTGCACCACAGTGAGCCCCTCACTTGTAGGGACTCTTCAAATTCCACAAGAAGAATGTTCCACTCAGACCGATCATTAGCTCCAGAGATTCAGCCACTCAGAATTTGTCCAGATTTTTACTATCAATAATTGAACCACCGCAAGTAAAAACATCATCTTTTGTGGAAAATTCAAAGCATTTTTTGGAACTACTAAGGAAAATCCAATTCAAAGAGCAGGATCAACTGTACACCAACGATCCTGTCGAAAGTCATATAGAAGAAGCTATCCGAAGATCCGGGACCTGAAAAATAGAACAAAATTACCGATACAAGTAATCATGGAATTACTAGGATGCTGTGTAAGAAACTGCTACTTCCAACTGAAGGACGAATTCTTTATGTTATACAAGACCGCCAATGGCAGTCCTAAAAGTTGTTGGACAACATATATGCGGCTTCTTTGAATTTTCTCCTAAAGCAGTGTTCCTCTTTGTGAATGATTTCAGCTTGAGCCCACTTGATGTTATGTTGATGAGTCCAAACATGCTCTGCTATTTTGGATTTGTTGGTTTCTCCTCGCTGTGTGTGTTTTTTGTGCTAGGCAATGCGAACTTTCAATGGTCTCTTAGTTTCACCGATGTATGGTTCTCCGCATTCGCAGGGTATCCGGTAAATGCAATTCTTGGAATCGCAGTCCGCGTTTGGTGGCCTGGTTTTAATGAGACTGCTACGAATAGTGTTCCCAGATCTGTAGCAGGTTTTGATGTTGTACTTGGACTCAATCCTTCTTATCCTTAACGACAATCCTCTGATGTAGGGAAGTACAGGTACTGGTTGTGGCGGCATCTCTTCTGTGCTGTTGCTATTGAAATTGGAGGAGTTTTGAATGAGAATAGAAATATCTATATCTTTTTGGTTTATTTAGTGTTGCGACACTACATTATTTACAGCAAGATAAATTAAATACGTTTTGGAAACATTGCAATTTTACAGTGTTCCAAATGGTTTATATGTTGATTGAACAAAAATGAAATCCGAGCTATCAATACATGATCTAATGGGACTCAAGATACCAAACGTTTCTTCTGCCACTGCGGCAGACATCATCAGTGGCATATGTGTTGACTGCGAGGACGAAGGTTATATCTCTTAGCAAGATATCAGTAAGGTTAATAAGTCAATGGTCAATGGACGAATGTTTTATTTTGGAATTTTGTCAATGGTCATACCGTAAGACCTCAAAACGTTATCAAAAAATTTTCATTTTTCGGCAATGGTATGAGAGCAAATAGCACAATAAAAACACGATTCCGTAGAACGAGTGGTTTGATAACATATATAGGTAAAAACAGCTGTAGAAAGTGCACTCGTGATTTTATTTATTTCTGGTTGCCCGACTGGCTTGCTCGACTTGCATTGCTCAAAAATAACAGAATTTGAGTTAGAAAATAGACATGCATTTGAGGAAAGTCCAATGTCGAGTGTTTTTCGTGAAGATTATTTCTTGAATGTATCGATATAATAACGTTATATCGATTGTGTAAAAGCTACCTGTCCTGGAAGGTACACAACTAGGTCAAGTTATCCAATGAAGAGAAACCAAGTCATGCCCACTAATCATTATGGAAAACCCGAGTCAAATACCAGCATCGTAGTTAATGCGTTTGGAGTTACAGGAACAACAACTCGAGCACCAACTCGGGCACTGCGACCGTTGCCACATCGCTTTCGATAATATTGTTGTAAATCATGCCCGAAAAAATTAACGCCAGTCGGTACTGGTAGCCATAAACCAATAGTGAAGTAGCTGAGTGCGAGCGAATGTACGTTGATTCCCCACCACTCTAGAAGCAGCGAGAATAATGCTACAGATTTCGACGGAATTTTGGCGAAATTTTTCAGCGCATTCGATTACGATATAAAAACGCTAGCCGCGAGTATGTCGACACAGTCAAGTGGACATTACAATGCGATACGCGAAGTGATCTATTAAGGCGATAGACATTCGAATAATAGTTGAAGTTTCAGTTGAATTGTTTGTTTTATTTGAAGTAAAATAAAGTTTAGTTTGATTATTCAGTGTAGTCAATTATTCGTCAACCCACGGGGAAAAACGTAACAATATCTATGGCAGTGTAGACGAAACGTCAGGCATAAAAACCGGCAGATCATGACCAAAAAACCTGGAGGGTAGCTTTCACATAGTCATCTCCGGACATGAAAGTTTACATTAGTTGAAATATCAATTCTCATATTTGATAATTTTCATTACCTGAATAAAGATAAATGTCAGCAAGAACATTTGTTAGAAATCACAATGTTTGTATATATGGACAGATTACGTAAATGATCAAAGTCGTATTTACCAACAGTGGCCGATCTACTTGACACGGTTAGATACATCACCACCACCTAAGTCGCATCAATTTCATTTAAATTCAGAATAACGTTTCAATTCGAATAAATAATGTCACATACGAATGAATTACTATTATGACCTTGAGATTTCTGGATATCGTTCAAGGAGATGGTATTGAAGACAGAGTGTGAATTTATGGATTGTTTTCTTATTTTCGTGAGGTAATGTGAATCAGAATATATTGGTGTTTATTCAATTTACCTATCCATTTGAGTCATCTCAGTAGAGTTAGAGTCTAGTTACTGTCATGATCATAATACTAAATTGATCTTGTGAATTTCTGTAGAAGCATTCAGGCAAAGTTTTGATATTAAGTCACAATTATAGTAGAATATTTGATTCCATTGGTTCAATTCGATCAGGAGAGCGGCAGTGATTGAAATTGTGGTAATGATGCATAACTAGTTTGGAAGTGGTTGACAATGTTTTATGGTGAAATTTACGAGTTCGGATTTCCACTGTCTAATATGATATAGCATGATTTAAAATCTCTGAAAAAACAAATGAAATTGAAAATTGAAATGGATAGCTGCAAGTTAGTCTGGATTCTTCTGCAATATGTTCCGATCGTGATTTCACAGAAATATCCGGATCCAAGCATTCCATAGGATACAGCTTCTGTACTGGTCGAAGAATTTGACCATTCTCAGTTTGAACACGAACTAGGCGAACTACACCATCTTTCCCAGGTGAAAGTTAAATAATTCGACCCATTGACCACTCAATGCGCTTTTAATTGTCGTTACCTACCAGAACAATCTCACCAAGGAAGATACTTCGTGATATTTTATTTGGTGCAATTTTCAACATTCCCAAATATTCATTTCTAAA